GTCCCCTCTGCAAAGGCTGAGACAGAGGCAGGTGGCTTTCTCTCTGGACTCCTAGTCCCTATTCCCCATAACATTGGTGGACATGGGTCTTTGGTTGGTGCTCACTAAGGAGCCATCTCCGAGCCACGTATTGGCCCTGTGACTGCCATGAAATCATTGCATCCTTAGTGCCTCCCAGTTGAAAGTTTTGAGAGGGTATGACCCTTGACATTCTTGCCAGTTTTCCAGTGTAATGCCCTTTAGGTCAGGAACCCACCCTGCTTCAAGTCCATGGGGTCGGAAGGTGAGGAATCAGTAAATCGGACATCAAACCAGTCATCAGAAGTAGATGGGTTGGAAAGTTTCAGAGAAGAGGGTCTTAGGCCCAGAGGCCTGGCCCAATCTCCAATTTCCCTTTGTTAAAATTATTGCTGCATGTGTCTTATATCCCTCTCTACCTTATAACATCTTTGAAAGTAGAAGTTCTGATTCATTTGTGTATGCACCATGACATCTTTGTGTGCCTTTGGCATTTGGGAGAATTCAATGAATATTTGGTGAATGCGTATACATCTCTCTCCTCTTAGCCCTCCATTTCTCTATATTCATTCTCTATTCTTTATACCTTTTTTTCCTAGTGGACAGTGTCCAGGTTAAAACCCAAATAGAATAATTCTCATTGCTGAGGAGTAATAGGGGAGTGCCAGCCAAAATGACTAGATTTGAGTGTGACCCTTATGCAGATGGATTTCCTGACCAGACACTATAAAGAAACATCCTTTGCATCACCATATCTGTAATCGGGCTTTCCCTGACAACTGAACATCTTAATTTCTCATTATTTTAGAGTTGTCTTAACTGCTATGGAAATTGGCTGGAGACCACTTTCAATGTTTGAAGCATTTAAGTGATAGATTACAGCTAATTTAAAGAAGAGGAAGAAGTGGCACTCTGCAGATCACTCCTAGTCTCTTTCTGACACTTGAAATGATTTTTCTAAATTAAAAGCTTCAAGTTTATTAACAATCATAGCCTTTGGTTTGAGTAAAGAAATTCAAATATTTCAAGTTTCTCTGTGAGCTAAGTAAAAGAGCTCTATTTAAATGGCAGGGCTGTACTGATGCCAATGATGACAAATGAGAATCATAAAATTTTGGGCCTGGAGTTTACATTTAATCCAATCCTTTCATTTTATAGGGGAGGACACTGAAATTGTTAATAAGGTTTGTGATTGTCACCCTGCTAGAACCAGAGCTAGAATTCCCACCCACTGGGTCCAGGGTTCTTCAACCTCAAAAAAATCAGAACTGCTATGGGCAGTGGGATAATGCTAGAAATTAATAACATGTTGTGATTTGTGATTTATAGTAAGAAATAAATATATTGTCTTTATTTTTTACTTGTCCTAAAAGCCTTGAAAGTTCCTAGGTGATGAGAATGATAAAATGTATCCCTTTTGATATGTTAATGAGGTGACTTTTGGAAAGCCCCAGGTAACCCTAAAGCTAGTGGCTGGTTGCCAGGGGAACTGATCATGTGATTAGATGGTAGGACCTTTCAGTCTCAGCCCCAGACCTCCAAAGAGGGGAGGGGAGGCCAGAAATTGAGTTCAATCACTAATGGCCAATGATTTCAGCAATCATGCTTATGTAATGAAGCCTCCACCGAAAACCAAAAGGAAGGGTTTGGAGAGTTTCCAGGTTGGTGAACTGGAACGTTTCCACGTGCCACTGGGCAGGGCCCCAAACTCCACCAGGACAGAAACTCCTTTGTGACCTTGCCTTACATAGCTCTTCACCTGCATCTTCATTTCTATAACAAGTTGCAAGTTCAAGTTGATTCCTACAAGTTGATTCTTTCAAGTTCTGTGTAGCTGGGGTACCGGAGTACAAGAGTCCATGGCCCCAGGGGTCCCAGAAAGACCAGGTTCAGCCACTCACCACTGACAAAATCTGAAGGCAGAGAAATGAGTGGTGGTGAAATCAGAAAGGAATGTATTTCAGTGAGGCCAATGCCGAGAAGACAGTGGATTAGTGTTCCAAAGACAATCTCCAACGGCTGAAAATACTTTCCAGTGTATTTAAGGAAAAATGTGGGACAAAGATCGGGTGGGTTTGCACAGGTGGACAGTAAAAGTCTGGTTAATCATTGTCTTGGAGTCCATCACAAGGAGTCTTGCTGGCTCAGGGCAGTCCTCACTGTTTGAGGGGGTAGTGTCGGTTGCCATCAGGGAATACTTTGCCCACAGGGTCTTTGGAAGGAGACTCAAATCAATTAGAAAGTTTGAGGTCAAAATGGAGGTAGTTGGAGTCCTCTTTCATGTGCACTAAGTAAAACAGTTCCTTCATATCCTTTAACATCTTTTGTAATTGAACAGGTTCAGGATAGGCCCTCCTCCCCAACCCTCCCTCCACCCCATGTGCCATTTTGACGTGTAGATTATTTTGAGCTGAAGGCATTCGAGATCCTGCAGGTTCAAGAGATACTTCTGCTTCTCCCTTAACCGCATAAAAGAATCTAAATTGGGCTTTTTTTTTCCAGAGTAAGAGTTACAAACAGAGGTGAATTTTATCTGAGTCACCCATCTGTACAGTAGGGCAAACATGTAATTACCAAATATCTGCTTTTCTTATCAGGAATCATGAAATGCATTCCTTTCCTCCGAAATCCCAGACCCCCTACCCCTTTGTCCTTAGTTCAGAATGACATACACTTCACTTTGCCTGTCTTTGGAATTTCCGTCTCTATGTGGACTCCCCATATATAAGCCTATTAATTTGAATTTCTCCTGTTAATCTGTCTCATGTCAATTTGATTCTTAGTCCAGTTAGAAGGGCCTTTGAGGGAGCAGGAATTCTTGCTTCCCAACATAATAAACCAGAATTTAGTGAGTAAACCCATTTCCTGAGTCCTGTGAGCCACTCTAGCAAATTAATTGATCCCGAGTAGGGGGTCATGGGAGTCTCTGATTTATAACCAGTCAGTCAGAAGGTCACGTAGCAATCTGGACCTGTGATTGGCATCTTTAGTGAATGGCAGTCTTGTGTGACTGAGCCTTTAACCTGTGGAATCTCATGTAGCTAGTGCCAGAATTGAGTCCAGTTGAACCCAGCTGGTGTCAGAGTATGCCTGATGGTGGGGAAAAAAAAAAACACCACACGTTGACATCGGTATCAGAATTGTTACATGGATAGCATGAACAGTCTTATCAGTATATATGGCTAAGCTCATGGAAGGAAAATAAGACAGTCCACCATCCTGAAGGAAAGATAAAAATGACTCATTTTCAGGACTGTGTATCTCTCCAGGGATGCTCAGAAATTAGCCAGAGAAGCCCAACGGACCTGCCTGGGCCCCAAGGTGGAATGAACCAGTCACCACGCTCAACAATCAATCCTCACGAGCTAGGTAAACCACACAACCACTAACTAGTACCCAAGCTGGGATCTTCACTCAGATCTCTTAAAGTACCAAGCCTGGGCTCTTAAGCAGAGGTGACATTTGAGTAGAGCCTCCTTGGTGCATACCAGGGCCTCTCTGGGGAATCTTGCTCTGCACCACCCATATTTTAAGTGTCTGTGAATACCTGAGCCTGCCAGGAGAAATTTTGCATGCCTGGACCAGTCTGAGCTGAACTGGCCTTTCAGCCCCAGGCCGACTTATAAGATCAACTTCATCTCCAGCTCTTTGGCAGGATAGTGCCAGCCAGGTGGTGATGGTGGTGGTGGTGGGGGGGGACAGGGCAGGAGAGAGGCAAAAAGTAGGGTGCAGTTCCCCTAGAGAAGTAGGATAAAGCTGCTAGGAGAATGGGGGGGGGGACTGTTGAGCAGGTGAAATGTGTCTGCTCAAGATTAAACAAATTACAGATTGCTGACAAAAAAGTCAAAGTTGGATTCTACGCTTAAAAAAAAAACTATTACAGAACTAAAAAACGGAAAGGAAGGGGATATGAAGTCATCCTTAATTTTATTAGGAACAAAGTATCACTAGCATTGATTGCCCATGTAGCACACTCCTTGGCATTTTATTTTGTCAAACACCAGTGTTGCAGAGAACACAGCCAGGGAAACTCACCCGGCAGGGAAGTCGATCTAGAAGGCCCTTGGCTCTTATTGATCAAACCCTGTTGTTGCCGGATCCTGCTCAAGTCCATGTTACCAGAAACCTCATTACCCGAGTGGAGCTGTCTAGGAGCATGCGTGCGCCCCAAATCAGAAGGTGCGTATCTGCACACGACCTCTGGGCCTCGATTCATTCCTCTGATAGAACCTCCAAAAAATTCAGTGAAGAAACTTGAGGGATCGTCCTTTAAATACAAATGAGGTTCACATTTGATAAGGAATGATGGTGCCATCTTATCACCTCCCACTCTTGGTCATTCATCCACCCCGCATTTGCTGGTGCCAACGCGCCAGGTGTACATTGAAGATACAGCAATAAACCCAACAACCTCCCCCCCGCCCCCGCCCCCGCCTCCTGGATGGAGCTCAGTCGGGGCCGGGAACCCGCTGCCTCAAGGCCCAGTTAGGGTCCCAGCCCCTCCAGCAATCCTTCCCGGCCTTCCTGGGTCACCGTCTCCGGCCAGCACATCTCACCCTACCGGCTGGGCGGGGACCACCCAACCCCGCCCTGGGCGCCGAGCCCCGCGCCCCGCTCCCGCCCGGTTTGGTAGGCGGACCCGGAGGAAGCCCGGTCCCGGCTGGCGCTGGCGGCCGCGGGTCGCCGACGGCTCTCCCCGCCTCTGCCCAGCCCCAGCGCCGGCCTCGGGCTGTGGGCGGGGCCTCGGGGGGGGGGTCCGGGGCCGTGGGCGGGGCCTCGGGGCGGGGCTGTGGGCGGGGCCGCGGGCGCAGACGGCTCTCCCAGCCCCGGCCCAGCCCCCGCGCGGGCGTCGGGGCTGTGGGCGGGGCCTCGGGGCCGGGGCTGTGGGCGGGGCCTCGGGGCCGGGGCTGTGGGCGGGGCTCCGGGCGGGGCCGCGGGGCGGAGGCGGGCGGGCGCAGGTGGCTGGGCGGCCGCCGGGGAGTGAGCGCGGGCGCCGGGCCGCCGCGGCGGGATGGGGCGGCTCGGGGCCCGCCGCCTCGTCCTGCTCGCCGCCTGCCTGGGGCTCTGCGGGGCGCGCGGGGCGCTCGGAGGTACGCGCCTGCCTTCCCCGTCCCGGGCCCCTCCCCGGCCGCGCGGCGCCCGCTAGCGGAGGGTGGGCGAGCCGGGAGCCGGGGGCTCGGGGAAGCCGCGCGGCGACCGGGAGGGACCCCAGGCCGGGCGTTCCTGGGCTGGGCGGCGGGAGGAGACGGCTCTGCCCTGCGCGGGGGGGTGGGCGCCGCCTCGGAAGCTTCCAGCCCCCGGCCCCCCTCCCCGCGCGGCGCGGCCCGCCAGGTCCGGGGCCGAGCCCGGAGCCGGGGTGGGGACTGCTCCCGAAGGCCGCGCGGCCCTCGCCGCCCATCGGGGTTTCAGAGTTGGGCTCTTGGTCGCGCTCCGGCGAGCGGAGGAACGCGTGCCGCCGGCCTCCTGCCGAGCCGTGCAGCCCTGCGCCTCCCCTGGGCCTGCGCCCCGGGGAGAGGTACTCGGCTGCGCCCGACCCGCCGGCCTTCGGGGCCTTAAACTCGTCCCGGGTCTTCTCGGGCCCCAGGCCTGGCCTGTGTTCTCTAAGTACCTCCACAAGCCCACCCACATTTTCTGATTTACTGGGAATGCTTTGCATTTCCATGGCGCTTTCCAAAAGTCGAGGATTACTAATAAAAGCATACTTAATTGTGTACGACTCTACAGAGTCCTGCACGTGGGCCTTCTCGTCCTCTGTGCTCCTTGAAATTTAATTTAGTTCAATTAAAGACTTCCTTTGATGCTTTTTTTTTTAAGATAAAACATTCTTAATCAACAGCCTTATATCTCTTTGTAGGATTTGGATTAAATTCTGAACACTTACTTACTTCATTTTAGGCCTAGAGTAGACAGTGCCATTGCGGCCTACACCGCCTGATTTCACCAGGAGCCTGAGTAATGTTGCAGCCACGATGGCATCTGTAGTATGGACACTTGACTCTTAGCCCAACTGCTCAGGGTCTTACTGCAGTTCCCCCAGCTCTGCTGCCACCCTGCTGTATGTGGGCCCTTCCTAGCTCTTTCTCCTGATTCCTTCCTGGCCGGAAGGGTCGATTAGGCCGGGAACTGCAGGTCTGGGGCTTTGATGTGGCTTTGAGAGAGAAGATTCCAGCTGCAGAACAGGGAGATCTGGGAGCACAATGAATGGTACTGATTGGGTGGTGATCCATGATGGACCAGCGATCTAGTAGTGCTCAGTATAGGGTGATGGCAAGTCCATAACCTTGGAGTCAGAAGGACTAGGGCTTCAACCTGGGTGCCGTCATCTGTTCTCAGAGTGACTTTCCCTATCTAGTCTTAAATTTGCATCTGTAGAATTGAAATAATAACTTCTGCAGAGAGGCTTGAATACAATACTGTGTAAGACTTCCTTACAGCCAGACAACTACGCAGTAGTGCTCATTTCCCTCCTTTTCTACTCATTAGCCTCTCTCCTCGTCATCTGTGCAATTACCTTGGGTATGAGGCTAAGAAGCCAATGGATTAGATACTTCTCATTGAGGGGCCCAGGATGTGGATAGGGAAGGTTTCTTGGATAAAGAATTCCATGGCATAGACAGCAGTTCCCCCCTATCCACGAGAGATATGCTCCAAGACCCCCAGTGGATGCCTGAAATCACAGATAGTACCAAACCCTATATGTACTATGTTTTTTCCTATACTACGTACTATAATAAAGTCTATTTTGTAAACTAGGCATAATAAGAGATCAACAACAATAACTAATAAAATAGGACAATTATAAAAATATACTATATTAAAAGTTATATGAATGTGGTCTCACTCAAGATACCTCATACTGCATTCATCCTTCTCATTGTGCTGTGAGATGGAAAAGGGTCTATGTGATGAGATGAACCAGGCGAATGGCGTAGGCATTGTGACGTAGCTTTGGGCCGCTATTACTCTTCTGAAGATAGGTCAGAAGGAGGATCATCTGTTTCTGGACAATGATTGACCATAGGTAACTGAAATCATAGATAAGGAAAAACTACAGTACTTCTAACATATACACTGTTCCTCACCCATGGCTCTTTTTTTTTTTTTAAGATTTATTCATTTATTCATGACAGACACACAGAGAGAGAGAGAGAGGCAAAGACAAAGGCAGAGGGAGAAAGCAGGCTTCCCTCAGGGAGCCCGATGCGGGACTCAATCCCGGATCCTGGGATCACGACCTGAGCCAAAGGCAGGCTCCCAACCGCTGAGCCACCCAGGCATCCCACCCATGGCTCTAATTGCAACACAAATATTGGATGCTGAGGTCTTATCAAAAGCTACTTTGGGACGCTTTGAAGAATATCTTCTTGACGAGCTAGATGTGTGATCTGATTTTAGTTTTCTTTCTTACTTCCTTGGATGATTCAGGCTGTTGCTTTGAATAAATCTAATTGTCAAACATAGGTGAACTCTGTTCTCGGTCTTTGAGGGACATCGGGTGATGTGTCCTCAGCTCGGATAGTCTCACCAAACAGGGAGCCACTTTGCCTGGTAAACAGATCCTGTCTCAGTAAGAATATCCTTAGCTTACACCCTCCGCACATTCCTATTTGCAAATCAAATATCAATACTACTGTCACTAACCACTTTCTCAAGGTACAACATGTACTTAGCATTAGACCCATGTTGTCCATAGTTCAATGTCTCATTTTTGGCTCCCTTCTTATCAGATCCCATTAGAATATTATTGCTTTGACCTTGCACCAAGCGCTGATGAAAAGCCTGAACAGGAAGAGAAGTGCCAGCACTTCCAGTTCCTTTTGCATTTACTGGTCCTCGCATTAGTTCATGTATTTTTAAGCTATGATTGATTTGCAGGAATTTGAAAAAGCAATGGATCCTGTAAGAGAGGATTTGTTTAGTTAAGGTGAGATGACACAAGTGTAAACCCCGTTGGCCAGGCAGATCCATGTGTGGTGTGTCACTGAATGGGAAAGAGAGTTCTACAACCTTCTGGGTTGTAGAATTCCCACTGCTCCCTCAGGGACACTTGTGTACCTAGCAGGTGAGACACATGGCTGGGCTCACATAGGCAACTAAGGCAGGATGCCCATCAATCTGTAAATTAGAGAAGAATAAAGAATTCTTATTTTTTTAGATGAAGGTAACCTGTGAATTCGTAATATTTTCTCCTGACTCCACAGTGAATGTCTTGGCACCTCACTTTGCCATTTCTGTTTTTTTTTTTTTTCCACTTTGCCATTTCTACCTGAAACTGTGATGCCCAAACCCAAATGCTCACCATGGCCAGTGTGTCATGGTGAGCCAAGCAACAGCTAGTGTGGCAGGAGCTGCCACTGAGTGATGGACCCCGGAGCTGAGACATCCAAACCCACTCATGGCTGCTGTGCTGTGGGGATCAATAGGTCCCAGGATGGCCCGATCAGCTGACTCATGAGGGGAAGCCCAGAAGTTCAGGTGTTTGATTAAAATCTCCTTTCTTTAAAATATCTTAATTTAATATTTTTATTAAATTAGAAATAGAGCTGCACCTGCCTTACAAACTCAACCAAACTCATAACCTCTGCTTTTGGGGACTTTCCCAGTGCTACGGCTTTATTCGGCTCCATCTTCCCAGCACTTAGTACAGTACCTACAAATGACAGGTGCTCAATCAGTCCGAGCACCTGAAGGACAGAACACAGCTGGGGACCAGAGAAGACAGAATGACAGCTCCCCAGGGAAGTTCACATTGTGATTCCCAGAATAGAGACTATGTTGCTTTACATGGCAAAAGGGACTTGGCAGCTGTGATCCAATTAAGGATTTTGAAATGAGGGATTACATGGGATCATCTGTGTGGGCCCTAAGCAAACACAAAGTGTTAAAAAAGGGAGAAAATCTGCTGGAAGCAGAGGTTGGAGTGACATGATTGCTGGCGGGGGCCACAAGCCAAGAAATGTGGCAGTCTCTTACAAGTTACAAAAGGCCAGGAAACAGATTCTCCCCTCCAGCTGCCAGGAAAAAAACACAGCCCTGCAGACACCTTGATTTTAGCTCAGCAAGACCTGTTTTTGGACTACTAGCCTCCAGAATTGTAAAGCAATAAATCTGTGTCATATGAAGCCATTACATTTGCAGTAATTTGGTGCAGCAGCAATAGGGGTTAAGAGTGGGAGATAAACATAGATTTGCACAAGGGCCACATGTGTCCAAGATAGGACATAGGTACTATGTCATGAAGAGGGAGTTTTCAGCTCAGTCAGTACCCAGCTAGGGACTAGGGCTGATTCCCCGCTTCATTCCAGGGGTGCTATGGGAAGCTACAGAGTCCACAGGAATAGCTCCCCCCGGAGTGATGCGGGACACAGTCTACTTGACCCCATGCAGCAGGCATGAGGTAGAGAATGCCCCACGAGGAGAAGCTTGGTAAGTGCTGCTTTGCCCTTTGCCACCTGAGCAGTTGGCATGGCATGTTTGGAGGATGAATGAATGAAAAGTGAGAAGGTGTTGGGTCCTGTTCTACAAGAAGAATAGAAGAGTTGCAGGGCCACAGATCCCTTGGGCCCCACCTAGAAACCCAAGACAGGCATCTTCATGGTGGCCCTGGGCCCACTACCAGTCCTTTCCCGCCCTCCTACAGTGCCAGCAACACATTTAACAGAGATGTGGTGCCAGAGGCCCCTGTGGTCCCCCAGCCCACTAAACCACAGCCCATCCCTGCAGCCATGGAGCAGACACCTCCTCACTCGTTGACTTTCTGTCCCAACTTCTATGTTAGTGGACCTGAGTTTTGTGGGAGAGACTCTTAGAGTTTCCCTCGTTGGGGTTTGCTTCTAATGGACAAAGGAGGTTGGGCCTCTCGGGCAGGTTAGGTGTTTGTGCTGAGTTATTCCATACCTGGAAGTTTTCTTTCTCAGAGTGTTCTGGATGGTTAGCTATCTCTTGAATAAATATTTGATTTGGTTTGGTTTGATAAAGCATGCAACGTCAGGGCCACAGTTAAATACTATAGATATTCCTCAGAGCAGATTTGTGAAGTAAAAATGTGGCTTTCCTTTCCAAGTGCTGTGACTCCCCTCACATGGTCAGC